GTCATTGTTGTGCTGTGGATATTGTGGCTTCAAGTTTAAAAGTTCAGAAAGAATATATTAAGTAAAAACACCTAAGTGTCTACTGCTTATTTCTAATTCTGTACATGTTTTGTTGATAGGCTGTCAGTAATTTGATATTGTTTATGATACAGTTTTTATTTGTTTCTTATGACTATACTTTCTGTGCAGAGACAACCTATTGTGAGAGCTTTATATATGTATATGTATTATATATATAAAAAAGTAATCGAGCATGAACTATGCACCTATAAATATTAGCTGTTGAAATTTTATTGTTTTGTGATGTGTTTTATTAACTTGTGTCTGTAAATAATTGTGTTCAACTGAAGCAAATAAAACGTAACCATTAAAAATTAATTTCTGAATTAGTGATGATGTCTAACACCACCTTTCCCTTCCAAAAGCCCCTGTTAAAGCATTCAGGCTGTGTTGCCTCTCATGAAGGAACCAGAGGAAGAAAACCAGCAAATGGAATTCCAGTCTGTACAAAAAATGTGGAGAAGAATGAGAGTATCAGGGCTGCTACCTCAGCTGGAGTAAATTGTTGACAAAATAGATTAATTTGTAGGGCTAATAAGCTTCCTGTTGTAAGGACAGCCTGAGAGTGAATGAAGCCTTTAATAATGGGGGACAGCAGGTTATCAGAAAATCATGAGGCCCTTTGAAGGGGCCTCACTCTTTCAAAGTTGTTAAAGTGCCGGGGTATACAGTGATGGATTAGTTGCAGTCAATTGGTCTTGGATAAAGTCCCATTCAGCAAAATTACAGTGTACTGTCTGTTTATACACATGTTAATTTCAGTTATTACTTTGGATACTTTTCCAAAAATGTTTAAATGTGATATTGTTTTACTTCTATCACGTTTTATTATTTGTTATTTTGGAACATACCTTGCCTCTAACCTGAATGACAGAGTGGTTTTGTGCATAAGGTTCTCTAGTCTTGAGTAGGGTTTTGAACTTCCCTTACAGCTAGTCTTTTCAGTGTTCTGGGTAACAGATAAATATCATTGACTGGTTTTGTAGAAGGGCACAACCACATAACACGTGTCATTGGTATGCACAAAAGGAGACTCAAACCCCTGGAGGGTGAACTCTCCAACTTCTTGAATTGAGCTCCTTTCTGGCTTTCTACAACCTACCTGGTATTAGCATGCCTAGCGTGGAATATATCTTTCCAAGTATGTACCTATCCCAGCTGTACTCTGTGGGAGCTGATAGTGTAGTACTTTGAGCCAAAATCACATGAACATGATGGTTTCATGGTGCTTAGAAAACCAGTGCTTCAATTTCCCATGTCATCCCCCAGCCGCAACCTCGTATTTCTAAGGAATTTCATTTATTTCAGATGAATTGCTATCAAGCTCTTTTTTTTCAAAGCAATTAAATATCCCGCCATATCATTTCAAACAACTTGCAGGTATTTTCATTAATCATTTAATTGTTTAATGTGCCCTAAAGTCCTGTGCTGTTTTGCAGAAATTTTTCTTGATAGCCTGCAACAACACACTAACGATTTGTAGTCTTCTTCACAGGTGATGTGTCAAAACAGTTGCTTGACCTGGACATCTTTGCTATTAAAAATTAATGCCTCAGTGACAAATCTATTGATTCCATCCCTAGAAAATCAGTCAGGACAGAGAACAGTGTAAGATACTGCTTTTATAATTGTTAATGTTGTTTAGGGATCTTTCTGTTCTAGGAGGAGGATTTGGGAAGATAAGCCCAGTGCTGTACTGTAATTTTTTTTCCCAGCACGGCAGCAGGGACTTATCCATCAAAACCAACAATTGAGACCAGTCTCATGCCTGATACTTCAGGAAATAGCACTGGAAATAACAGCCTAAGTAGAATATGCATTTCTGTTCATCTTCTCTTCCACAGCCCACAGGTCTTTATTGCTCTATTGTTTCTCTATTAGAGAATTGAATTAAACTGGTTACTCACATGTTGAAAATAAGTCATACACTTCTTAAATAAGGTGTGGAGAGCAGTATGTCATAAAGAACAGTAGCAAGAATAAATTGGCTCCTGAGATTGGCCCATTGGTTTGGACATGTCTGGACCCCTGGTTACTATTGGCAGCACACTATGATGCACTGCTCTCGTAACAAACTGCATTTTAATTAGATTCCTTTAATGTCTGTCTGACCATCATTTCTAGATAAACTAAGTGCCATTCTGTCTTATTTCCTGCAGTGAGATTAATACTAATGTGGATTGCAAATGTCAAAATTGTGTTGTGCTGAAGCTGAGCTAAGTAGATACTGGGGCATTCTAATTTTTCTAAGTGACTATTCTGGGTATTAAAAAATGGTTTGAGTGTTGTGAAGAAGTTTGTTTAAACAATGCCCAATAGGGAGGAATATAACTCAGAGCTCTCTTTTTCTTAAGAGTTTAGGTTTTAACTCAAACCGGAAGCAATCTTCTGTTCTCAAATTGCTAATAATGAGCCTCACCATATCCCAGTGCTCCAGGGCAAAAAGACATTGGTTTTTTCTTTTATTTTGACAACTTTAATTGGTCTTATAATGGTTCCTAATTAAACACATTGTAATAATGTTTTTATTGCTGTAAATCATAGTGTTAATACTTGTATTACATGCTTTTCATATCATGACTTTCAAGTCATCGTGTTTGTCTGAGGGACAAGGCAAGAAATGCCTTCCTCTCCCCACCAAGACTTTGCTTCATTCCCTCGAGACAGTTGTAGGCAAGTTAAGGTAAATTACAGCATCATAAACTCGAAGAAAAGTAACATGCTTGCATTTCTTCAGGAAACACTGATTTTATTCATCTTGGATTTCGTAGCATGGGCAGTCTAGGCTTCTCACATGGAAGAATCAGATATGGACAGCATGTCAACCAACTGCAGCAAACTCGAAGTACAGACCTCTGCCTCCAAGAGCTGGGAGACTGGAAGTTTCAGCGTTGTCCATTTAATGGCTGAAATTACTCCAGGAGCACAAAAGAAGACAGGTACACAATGGCTCCCTACACATATTCATAAAATCTTAATGTACCAAACAGAATTACTTAATTGCCTCTAAGATTTGATGCAAAGCTCACTGAAATCTGTGGAAAGATTGCTACTGACTTGACATGGGTGTTTTAGGACAACTATAGCTCCAGTTTACATTCAGTCTTCTCATACAAATTACACACGGCAGTCTGTACTGCCATGATGAGTTTCCAGTTCTTTTCTGTATGCTTTTTAGGGAGAAAATAACTGGTGAAACCCTTGATTCTAGAGCTTCTTGAGACACTGGCTGTACAGTATATTTTTTTTCTCAGAAAAATGGTATGCAATGGAGGTGATGCTCCAGGGCTCTGATCCCTAAATCACTGAAAATAAAGGGAGGATTTTCTTCATTGACTTCCATGGGTTTGGATGATTCCTGGTGCCTCTCCTAAGTCTGCCTAGAACTCAGAAATGGCAGAGGTCAGATAATCAAGGTGCATTTTCAGAATATCTAAGAGTAGCAAAAGTAGCAGAGAAACAAAGATTACCATAATAATCCCACAGTTAATCCTTACCAGGCTTTTCCAACATCGCTGTGGTTTTATATGCTAGCAAAATACAATACCTCAGATTTTGAGTTTGAATGGAGTAGTTATCCTTAGGTATTGCAACCTGAGAGGTAATTACTCCTTCAGGTAATTGATATTTGTTCATACATTAATCCAAACTAACTGTGCTGATTCTAGCCAGGATGGAGTTAATTTTCTCAGTAGCTAGTGTAGTGCAGTGCTTGGATTCAGAGTGAGAATACTGTTGATAGTACACTGATGTTTTGGTTTCTGCTAAGTTATGTTTATCCTAAATCAAGGCCATTTTCTTGCTTGTGTCTTATGCCCTGCCAGTGAGAAGGTACACAAGAAACTGGGAGGGAGCATAGCCGGGACAGGTGAGCTGAACTAGCCAAAGGATATTC